AAGCAAAACCAAGACTTTTTTTACAAACTGGCTTTTATCTCAGAGCTAGAGTGTCAGTTTACAGTAGAGGGCCATTTTAGAACATATAGCACATATTATTTAAGTATTTTAAAGATAAACAGAATGTTTAAGTGCAATATATATCAAAAATATATATATTTGCACTCTTTCAACATAAAGGTTTACCATTGCACAACAAGAATTGTGACTTAACTTTTCAACTATGAAAACAAGTTTTACAAAGATATTTTGCCACTGAATATTCAAAACTTAAGGTTGTGAACTAGCAGTGTTATGCTGCTTTGAAACATCACTGTCACTGTAAACAACAGGCTAATAAAAATATAATTAAATAAAAATTAACAGGAGGTGTTTAAAACCTTCGTTCTCCGTGACACTAGGCTGAATATCTTTGCAAATGAACAATGCAATAACATCCGTTATTGGCGTAGAGCGCACAAAACTGTTGCGCATGGAGAAAACTTGCAATGCTTTTCTCACCACTTTTGGAGCTGGTAGCTACAGTTGAAGCAGAGCAGGAAGCCGGGGATGCAGGAACACTGGAAGATGCTTCCACAACAACACCGAGGCGCCGCTTCAAGTGAGATATCAGATTAGTCGTACTGCCCGTGTATTTTACAGATGCGCGGCACATTTTGCAAATTGCATCTGTCCTGTCAAGTCGTCCATCCTTAAATCCATAATTTTGCCATACTTTAGATTTAGAACTCATTGGGGAATATAATGTTTGTTTTGCTTCTCGCGCTTTCTGAGGGCGCACCACTAGCTTCATCCGCACACCTGATACACTGAGTTGTAGTGTAAGTGTACACATCCGCAAGTCCGTTGCTAAGGCATACTTTATGTAGGTCGATTAAATTATGCGCCAAAAACAGGTTGACAACACTTGTTAATACATAAAAAATACATTCTATATTAAAAATATGAGTTGTATCTTGGAAAAACCGATGCATCTCGCAAAAACCGATGCATCTCGATTTGCTTCCAAAATTTCATTGATCCTCTGCTGCTCTACCGATGCACTCGCATCGTGCACGCGCATGACCGCGTATCGATACATATCGGTTAATCTTCCCATCCCTACTAGAAAGAGCTATCTTATCACAGTTACAACCTTTTTTAAAATCTTCCCTTAAACTTGAACCTTTACAGCCAGGTTTTACTATGCACCACAGTACTGAAACAGCTCTGTTAAAAGTGTTGAATGACTTACTGCTGTCTGTAGATTCTGGCAGTAATGCAGCTTTGGTTTTACTGGACCTGAGCTCTGCTTTTGATACAGTCGATCATACCATCCTTCTGTCATGTTTAGAACATTTGGTGGGCATAAAGCACTTCACTGGTTTCAGTCATATCTGAATCCAGGTCTTTTTAAGTGTCTGTTGGTCAATTTATGTCAACATCCCTTTTCTGTTTGGTGTCCTCCAAAATTCCAGAGTCACTTGCTCTTTAATTTATTTTTGGTTCCTCTTGGTAATATTACAAGGAAATATAACATCTATTTTAATTTTTATGAAGATGACTCTCAGCTGTATGTTCCTTTAAAATCTCAGAACTCTCTGTAGTTTTTAATTGATTGTCTTAAGGATATTAAATGTTGGATGGTAAAAAAACTTCCTTCAACAACCTAATAATGACAAAACTGAGGTTACTCTCTTTGGCCCCTCAAAAACAAGAATGTCTTATGGTGGAAGACTTCCCAAGATCCCCAATATATGTTAAATCTCAAGTAAAAAAATCTAGGAGTTATCTTTGATTCAGAGCTTTGTCTAGAAAAACAAATTAGCTCAGTGGTTAAGAATAGTTATTATCAGCTGAGGATCATCTCCAGACTCAAATACATTCTTTCCTTTCAAAATCTGGAAAAAGTCATACATGCTTTTTACATCTCGCCGAAACTATTGTAATCATACCTATCAACATTGGGATGTGAAAATAAGGGATATGTTAACCATAATAAGGGATTCCCCCAACCCAATTGGAGCTGTTTCGTTGTAAATAAACAAACACACTCTCACGGCAATTCGTAACTTTTTCATTTAGTGGCTAATTCGTATGAATTCGTACGATCTAATTCGTACATTTGCTTATCCCCAAATGACAGTTGGGGTTAGGGGTGGGGTCAGGTGCCACGCCTCCTTTTTAAAATCGTACCATTTCGTACGACTGAACTCGTACGAATTCGTACGAATTAGCCACTAAACTGGCAAAACGTAAAATACTTACGTTTTCTCGTGAGATCAGGCTGAAATAAACAGTTAAATGGTCAGTAATATGTTTTATAAATTATTATTTACAAAAGAAAAAATGAATAGTACACATTAGCAGCAAATACATTAGCAAACAGTTCAGCTTATTAAAATTAATAGCTATTATAATGAAATAGAATCAAATCTCATTAGCTGTTTCTTCACTGTGTAACTTGCACATTCTGATAAAAGAGCAACGAATGAATGATTTATTTAGATTTTTTATTTGATTACATAAAATAATAGGTGTCACTTTAAAAATGCACACATCTAACATTAAAATGAAAACATTCGACTGCTTTCCTAACTGTTTATGCTCACTTAGGATAAAATTACTTGTGTTAAAAAAAACCCCACCAAGATCAACATCTTTAGATATTAATATTAATAATAATGTGTATTTCTGTTTAAACATGCACCCAAAACCCAGACTTTTGCTCCGCTTCAAATCACGAGTACAGAATCCGCTTAGGAAACAGTCTGTTTATCACTTTGGAATGCGTCAGCTGACAGTCATGCAGCGCTATGACTGTTTTGAGGATTGCACATGAAGAGGAGAAGACACTTGTAATGAAAAAAAAAAGGTAATCGCGCCGTTTTTATGTTTGTTTCAGTGTTTTCGTGTCTAAACAAAGCAAAAGCACAGAACAGACTCGCATTAAGAGCAAGGGGCGGCCCCAGGTGGTTCGCCGGTATGGGTTACGTATAATGTTTATTTGCCACCCTTCAAGGAAACAATGAAAATACGAGAGAAATACGGGAAAATAGCTATACGGGATCTTAGCGGGATATAACTGTAAAATACGGGAGAATCCTGGGAAAAACAGAAGGGTTGACAGGTATGATTGTAATTCCTTATATATTGGTCTCCCTCAATCTTCATTGGCATGGTTGGAATTGGTTCAAAATGCGGCAGCTGACAGACATCAAAAAACATGATCATATGTCACGAGTTTTAGCTTCCCTTCATTGGCTTCCTGTTTTTTTCAGAAGTTTTATTTTTATTGTTTTAAAGCACTGAATGGGCAACCATCTTCTTATATTTCTGAACTTACAAACTTACATTTAACTCCTCTGTCCCTTAGGTCATCAAATAAAATTGTACTACAAATTTCTCTGTCACGACTTAAACTGAAAGGAGATAGAGCTTTTGCAGTCACTGCTTCACATTTGTGGAACCAGCTGCCACCAGACATTACGAATGCTTCTTCCCTCTCTATTTTTATTATAGTTAAGACACATTTTTATTCGATTGCCTTCCCTGGCTTTTAATCTTAATTGTGTTTTGTTGCTGTCGTACTGTTATTCTTTTTATTACTTTTATTATTATTTTACGGTTTTAGAATGGGTGCTATGATTTTGTTCAGCACTTTGGTCAGTGCCAAACTGAAGTTAAATCTGCTTTTTAAAATAACTTTACTTACCCAATATATTTTCCCCAATTTTATTTTATTTTTTTTAATGTAATGAAGATTTTTTTCAAGACATTTCTAAACATAATAGTTTTAATACTTCATTTCTAATAGCTGATTTCTTTTATCCTTGCCATGATGACAGTATGTAATATTTTACTAGAACATTTTTAACAAACTAGTATTCAGCCTAAAATACAACGTAAGACTTAACTAGACTAATTAGATTAATTAGGCAAGTTAGGATAATTAGTCAATCATTGTATAATTATGGTTTGTTCAGTAGACAATATAATATTTTATAATCTGTAAAAATATAATTTATATATATATATATATATATATATATATATATATACAGTATATATATATATATATATATATATATATATATATATATATATATATATATATATATATATATATATATATATATATATATATATAACAATCATAATTTGTAATTTTTTTCTTCTGGAGAAACAGTTCTGTCTGGTTCTTAAACCTGATTAGCTGATAACTGTGTGATAATCTGCAATATCAGGACTTGTACAACCTTTCTACTCTTATTTATTTATCTTTTTTTTTATTAATTATTTTTTTAAATAAAATTGCTTTTATTGTAGCAAAAATAACAAATTCACCAAAAAAAATGGAAATACTGTGAAAAATTCCATGATCTGTTAAACATTATTTGGGAAATATTTAAAAAAGAAAAAAAAAAAAATCACACGAGCGCTTATAAATGTGACTTCAACTGTAGGTTGAAAGCACCCTTATTATTATTACCCTTAATAATAAGGGTGAGCTTTTCTTTAAAAAGGGTAAGCTTTTTTTAATTACAAGGCCAGCTTTTCATTCTACGGCATATTTAAAAGGTTAAAACACTGTTCTCCGGTGTTCTAAATAGCATGTTCAAAGCATGGTTCTTCATGTAACCTCATGAAAAAAAGGTTCTGTTTAGCACCTAAAAGAGTTCTGCAATTGTTACAGGCCAAAGAACTCTAATTTGGTATTGGTTAGAACTATTTTTCCCAAGATTTGCTCAGGGCACAGTAAGCGGGAGATGAGCAGCAAATCTCACACAGGGTTGTGGGATCAACAGTGCAGCAGAATGACAGAGTAAAAAGCAGGCAGCAACTAATCACTATGGAGAAGACAGCCAAACAGTGATCAAAAACAGCCAGCAGTGCTGAAGCATCTGTGCACTCAATACAGTGCATTCACTACCTCCATTCATTTCCGATCTCAATGATGATAGCGAGTTTATAAGGCAATATTCTTGCATTTGCAAACACAACTAATAAAATCCACTCACCTGGTCCTCAAAGGAAAGTGCTTGTCCCACATCTCGCGGGAAGCCGTCTATAACTATACCGCTGGCCTCGGGAATCTTCATGATCTTCTGCTTGATCTCAGTTATGGTGGTTTCCTGATGGAGATAAGTAAACATATTGAGGTCAAAGCTGTGTTTAACTGTTAAAAGACATTTATTTAAGTTTAAACATTAATTATTATGTTTTAATATAATTTACACCGAATGACATTAATATAGCAGAGGGATTAGTTAACAAAGTGAGAGGGAAATCCCATAAAATTGTAGATTGTGGGTTGTTTGTCTTGTCTTGTCTAGGGGAGTGGGGTTGCACATTTAACGGAGGAATTGGTAATTGCAAAAACAAATTGTGACACAAAGTAAGGATGGACAGCAAGAATACATGGAAAAATAAGTGATTTATTTACGAAATGGTGTGGGTGAATCAGTGAGTGAGGTATTTACAATATATACAAGGTTAAAGACAATAAACAATTAAATGTTAGAAAGATTGGCTATGGGTTTTTATTTTAAAAATAAAAAGATTTTATAAATAAAAGAACCAAACAAAACTAAACAGTCTTACTAATATTCACAACAAATCCCCTCTAATCTATTCCAATAAACAAAAGATAAGAAAAAGAAATCTTCAACGTCAATGACGTCCTATCAAATCTACACTGACTAACAATTAAACCAAAAAAACACAGGTTGGCACACACCTGCTTACCTGGTGTATCTAGACAAATGTTAATCTACGTGCTGATATGTATGTAACATGATCAACTTACCTACCAGTCTTTCTAAACTCACAGGGAAACATGAGGTTATGGAAGATATGGCGATATAAAGGTAAGAACAGACAGTAACAAACTTGAAAAAAGTGTAAATAAAATAAAGAGGAAAAAAAAAAACTAAAAATAATACTAATAAATGGGGATAACAAACTATCAAACACTAACCAATCAAACTGAAAAAACAAGCCAAAATACGACAATCAATCATGCAAGCAAAGTGTCAAACGTCGACGTAACTCACGGCTGAACTACCATAGTACAATGAATTTTTTTGGGAAAAGAACGATGTAGTAAGGAGTGCTTCCCAAAACCGTAGTTTCTCTGTCGCAGATCCATGGTTTGAACCATGTTATAATGTAAAACATTCATAATGAGGCTCTAAACAGGGTGGAGTAACAACTTCTTCAGAGAAAACCCACATATTTTTTATATGCACACATATTTAAAAAAAAAAATCCAATATTGGTTTTGATAAAAACATGCACTCGTTTTTCATATTAATTTGAAATATATGTAAACAACACATACTGTATAGGGCCTGTGTTTCATTTGCAAATATTATTGAGAATATTCCATACAAAATCACTTAGCTATCTCGTATTCTTATCTCAAATATGAACATGAAAAAACATCTACATAACAAAAATAATAATAGTAGTAATAATAGTAGTAATAGTAGGTAGTGCTGTCGACTCACAGCAAGAATTTCGCTGGGTCTCTGGTTCAAGCCTCGACTGGTTCAGTTGGCGTTTCTGTGTGGAGTTTGCATGTTCTCCCTGCGTTCGCGTGGGTTTCCTCCGGGTGCTCCGGTTACCCCCACAGTCCAAAGACATGTTGTACAGGTGAATTGGGTAGGCTAAATTGTCCGTAGTGTATGAGTGTGTGTGTGTGTGTGTGAATGAGTGTGTGTTTGCCAGAGATGGGTTGTGGCTGGGAGGGCATCCGCTGCGTAAAAACGTGCTGGATAGGTTCATTTTGACCCCAGATTAACAAAGGGACTAAGCCGAAAAGAAAATGAATGAATGAATAATAATAACAATAATAACCATCATCATCAATTACATTATTATTAAAGTATGATATTTTAATTTCCCAATAAATAATAATTTTTTCAATAAATAAACTCTATCTATTTATTTTTATGATTTATACATGAGATTAGAATATGTGTTAGCTTTTTGTATATTAATATTTGTAAAGGAAACACAGGCCCCATATGTGCCATTTACATATATTTCAATTAATATGGAAAAAGAGTGCATGTTTTTACCAAAACTAATATTACATTTATTTTTTTCCTAAATGCTTGTGCATGTAAAACAATATCATTTGCACAAAGAAACTATGGTGTTTTTCTCTAAAGAAGCAGTTACTCCACCCAGTTTAGAGCATCATTATGGGCATTTTACGTTATAACTAACGTGGTTCAAACGATGAATCTGCAACAGAGAAACTACGGTTTTGGGAAACACCCGTCACTACATCATTCTTTCCCCAAACGAAGCATCGTACTATGATTGTTCACATAGTTACGTCGTTGTTTGGCAAACGCACCCCTGGTAAATAAATAACCTACTATAAATTAAAGCCATTAACGTATGCTATAAATTTTTGTTTCCACAAGCTTTGGACACATAAATTCCGCTTTTAAATAATAGGTCACCTATAGCTTTCATCATGAGCTACGGCTGCGTTCAAAACGGCATAAATGTTTTTAAAGTGCACTACGAAAGGAATGCAATTGTCAATATGAAGATTGCTAAAACTGAACTGTAAAAACACTTTGAAAGCAAATTACACCTAAGAGAGATGACTTTAATGTTTTTTTTTTTTTTAAAACATTCCAAGTTTAAATGTTTTAACGTTCTAAATGAATAGGGCATAGGGGGGATAATTGGGAATAGAACACAGCCAGGAACTATGCTTCTAGATACAGATCTAGAGGTGTAGTTGGAAACGTACAAGTTTGCGATGCAGTTTTCAAATGTTCGTTGGAACGATGGATTTGAGAAATGCCAAAGTAATAAACTATGTTTGTAACAACGGAATTTGCAACCTTACTTGGCTAATGATCCCCTGAATGGACAGTTCTGGTAGAGATCAACTGATAACAGATTAAATAAAATATACAGACCTAGCAGCTCATTTTAAAGCACATAACCCAAAGCAATTTAGGTCACAGCAAGCAGAGATGATGGGAATAAAGTGCATGTAAACACAAGCAAAAAAAACGGACTTCTGCAAACTGGTAAACTTCTGTAAACCGGTAAACTGACTTCTGCAAATCTCAGTAAATCATCTTGCATGACTAATTTAAATACCCCTATCACATAAATGCACTTTACAGTTAAACTATATCATTAAAAACCCACACACATCAGCTTAGTGACATATTCCATTGTAAATGTAACTGAATAACTAAGGAGGAAAATTTGAATGTCTCCAAGCGCTGGAAGGCGAATATATTCAAGCGTGGCAAATCTTGATGCGGATGGCATCATTTACAGCAGAGATCTAGCAACAGTAGCAAATTACCCTAAAAATAACTCTTACATCAGTCAACATTTGTTGCCCAGCATGAACTGTGATTTGTATGACCGAATGCAATTATTCTACCACTATCTGGAACAACCAGACAAGACTGAAACAGGGGACAATTTTTAAAAGCCAAGGAAAGCACCCCAACTATGACACCAACCATGACACAAATTATAAAAACAAATCTCAGAAATGCCTTGCATCACTTCCAGAACCGCATCTGTTTCTCCAGTATATGCTAAGCTGTATGTGGTCAAATGTGTTACGATAAACGTACAAAGAATAATGAATAATGAATCTTATGTACTGAAGCAAATCGACCCAGAAGCAATGAGTTGGAAAAGGCACACAGACTGTTTGAAAGTACAGAGAAACCACAGAAGGACATGCGCACTTATCATAAATTGCTGTTTTTAAAAAAAATAGCATTTATTTGGAAGCAATATTCCAACAGGGAAACACAGTGGCTCAGTGGCTCACAGCAGGAAGGTCGCTGGTTCGAGTCTCGGCTGGGTCAGTAGGCATTTCTGTGAGGAGTTTTGATGTTCTTCCCGTGTTGGCATGGGTTTCCTCGGGGTGCTCCAGTTTCCCCCCACAGTCCAGGACATAGGTGAATTAAATAGTGTATGTGAGAGTGTATGGGTGTTTCCCAGAACTGGGTTGCAGCTGGAAGGGTATCCACTGTGCAAAACATATGCTGGATAAGTTGACAGTTCATTCCGCTGTGGAAACCCCTGATGAATAAAAGGACTAACCCAAAGGAAAATTAATTTATGAATGAATGAATGAATGAATATTCCATCACAATCTCTTGCAAATTGAGTATACCAACATGAGTGAAGGAATATTTACGAAGCAAAGGTTGCATCGTTTAGATTTGTTTTCCTTGATAATCCTCCTGATATAGGCTTATAACTTAACCTTTAAAAGCATTTATACGTACACATACAATCTATGAAGAATTACACAAGTCAAGGTACACATAGGCTCTATATTGATACCTTAAAGGAAACTGTAAATATTAGCTATTTTGAAATGCTGTTATTTGTTATAATAACAACTTTTTTTTAAAATCTTACCTCACCCAACCCAACACCCGACTTTTCTTATTACTAATATTATTACTATTATCATTATTATTATTATTAATTTTCCTTTGGCTTAGTATGTATTTCAGAGGTGGCCTGTAAAGGAAGGATGCTGACAAATGAGTTGGGGATCCATGTGCAGTTTATTAAAGAGTAGTTGTGCAGGCAATGGTCAAGAACAAGGACAAACAGGAGCATGTATGCAATCCAAAGTGTAGTCAGAAACAGGTGAATGGTCAGGACAAGCAACGAGACAACGGAAACTAAGCAAAGAGTCAAAACATGGCAAGACAAACAAGGAAAACGCTTTGTAATGCTACATGGGGTTAAACAAGACTCAGCAATGTGTGTGTAAAAGCGAGGGATATAAATAGTCTATGAAATCAGTGAAGATGAGCTATAGCTGTGTGTGTGTCCGTGTTCGGATTATTGTCAGTTAATGAGTGCAAAGGATTCTGGGAGTTGTAGTTTAGTCAAGTGACCAAATTGTAGTTCTCCAACAATTTGCAACTGCTCGATCTCTGGTGATCATAACATCACCAAAGCAGAATGAAGCGCCAACTATTCCAGCGTATGTTTTATCCAGCGGATGCCCTTTCAGCTGCAACCCGGTATTTGGAAACACCCATACACACTCAATCACTCATACACTATGGACAATTAAGCTTACCCAATTCACCTATATTGCATGTCT